AAAAAAAAAAAAAAAAAAAATTCAGGGCTATCCTGGCATAGCACTCCTGGGACTTGTCCTCTCCGTGGGCACGATTCTGGGCAAGAGGACAGAAAGGCAGAAGGAAAGGGGTGGCGACCGGCCAGTTGCCTGGATGTTCAGGGCCTGGGCTTGATTTCCCCATTGCAGGGGATGTCCCGTCCAGAGGGCATGGCCAAGGGCTTTCCTCAGGTGAAGACTCCCTTCACCTGGTGCAAGGAAACACAGAGGGACCGTGGTCAGCAGTCCCAGTGGGAGAGGGAACATGGTCTACGGATCCTAGAAGCCCCCTTTGTCCATAGACAAGAGTGTTTCCTGTTGGCGACACGTCCGTCCCTTGTCCTGACTATCTCTCTTGTCATAGGAGGTGGGGGTGGGGCATCCCCAAGGAACCTTCATCTTGGCATTGAAAGACGTTTTCAGGCTCAAGCTTGCAGGGCTGGGAAGAGTTGGACATGCTCTCTGGTGAGTCACGGGGCCTCCTCATTCCATGTTTTTTCCTGCTCGGCTGTACAGCAGCACAAAGGGCTGAGGACTCTGAGGGTGACAACTGGAGCCACTCTGCAAGTGGCCTTAGCTGCTTTGGTCAACTCCTAAACACCTTAGCCTGTGGCCCCATTGCTGAATTATTATTATTATTTTCTTGAGTTGGAGTCTCATTCTGTCTCCCAGGCTGGAGTGCACTGGCACACTCATGGCCAACCCTGCGTCGACCTACTGGGCTCCAGCAATCCTTCCCCCTCAGCCTTCCAAGTAGCCAGAACTACAGACACGCGCTACCACACCTAGCTAATTTTTTTATTTATTGTAGAGATGAGGTCTCGCCAAGGTGTCTGGGCTGGTCTCGAACCCACGGGCCCAGGCGATCCACTTGCCTTGACCTCCCAAAGTGCTGGGATTATAGGCTAAGTCACCGAGCCCGGCCCATTGCTGAATTATTAAACATCTGAAAGTCACTTTAATATCTTGGGATAAATGCTGTGTATTAGGCATAGAAACTAAGCAGAGACACTTTCTTGGGATTTATCTTCTAGCCTTCCAGATGGATTATTGATGCCAACCTGTGGGCAGTAATAGCGATTTATTGCTTTCTAGTTTTTTGTTTGTTTTTAGGGATGGGGTCTCACTCTGTCACCCAGGCTGGAGTACAGTGGTACAATCATAGCTCACTGTAGCCTCAAATGTCTGGCCTCACGTGATCCTCCCACATCAGCCTCCCAAGGAGCTGAGGCTACAAGCGTGTGCCACCACGCCCGGCGGATGCTTTCTAGTATTAAAGACGCTTGGATAGATATCATTCCTGATGGGTAGGTGATGTCAGTTTTATCTCGGGAAGTTTGGGTCTCCTATTTACAACCTCATCTACCGTTGCTGTTAGCTGACTGCCCTGGTGTCCCCGAGGCTGCCTGAAGGGCCATGCAGATGGGCCAGAACACAGGTGTAACGTGTGGATGCCTGGGCTCCATAACCCCAAGCCCCACATACAGCTCAGACGGGGGTCTCTTCTTCCGTAAGAAGAGCAGCTCTCAAAGTCAAGTTCCCAGACCAGTAGCATCAGCCTCACGTGGGAACTTGTGAGAGATGCAAGTTCCCAGGTTCTTCCCAGACCAACGGAGTCAGGAACTCGGAGGGGAGGCCCAGCAGTCTGTGTTTTAACATGCCCTCTAAGAGGTGCGGATGCAGGCCTATGTTTGAGAACCGCTGAACTTGAAGAATCCAAGCTGGAGTTGCCTGGATAAGCAGGAAGGTGTGCTGGTAGACCCAGGCTCTCACGGGAGACTCTTGGGTTTTAACAGCCACCGGAAAAAACCATTGTCTGTTGTGTCTAGAAGACAAACAAGGTGTCGGCTTTGGCTCTGCCCCTGGCCATTCACCAGGAGACCGGGAGTGGCTGCAATTCTAGGCAGGGGTCTCAGGCTTTGAATTGCATTCTCTTTGATGCAAGAAGACACCACCCTCTACAGTCTTCCTTGCAAACTCCGAAGCCTCAGAAAGAATAGCATTTGGCCCATTTTTTTTGAAGGAAACATTTTTGAAGAATCCCAGGCAGGGTTGGTAGTGGATCCTTTGACGTTCCGGCACAGGCAGACCTAGGTTTTATGGGGCCTGCAGCTTATATAATTTTGGGGACTCTCTACCAAATGCATTGTACCAAATGTATTATGCTTGCGGATTTTACAAGAACACGTGACCACGCGAATACGCCGCTAGGGCCCTCCCAGGCCTCAGCCTGTTCAATGAGGGGCCCTGAACTTTCAGCCCACCCGCCCCAGAGTAAACCCGTCTCAGCCCAGGAAGGGTGTCTGTGCTCTGCCTGGTCCTTCAGACGTTTTCCTGGCTGTGAGTGGCCTACACCAGCCTAGAAGCTAACGAGACAGTGTTTAGTGCCTCTTCCCCTCCTGGCTTTCCCTTCTCTCATTGTTGTTTGCAGCCACTATCACCAGTCCTAGAAGTTTCCTGGAAGACGAGGTTGGGTCAGACATCTTGACTTGTTTTCCCGGTTCAGAGGCAAGGGTGCACGGCTCTTGCCATAAAGAGGTTTTTCCCACGCTGCACTTTTCTTACATTTCCAAACCATGGCTGTCTCCCTCCATCTCTGAACTGCTCAAATCACTCCTCTTCCTGCCATTTCAGCAAATAGCACCCTCCTCCCTCCTTTTTTTTAAGAGATGCAGGTCTCGCTCTGTCATTCAGGCTGGAGTGCAGTGACGCCATCCTAGCTCACTGCAGCCTCGAATTCGTGGGCTTAAGCAATCCTCCCACCTCAGCCTTCTGAGTAGCTGGGACTACAGGTGCACACCATTACACCCAGCTAAGTTTTTTCTTTTTTTTTTAAGTTGCTCAGGCTAGAGTGCAATGGCACAATCATGGCTCACTGCAGCCTGAAACTCCTGGGCTCAAGTGATTCTCCCTCCTCAGCCTCCACAGGTGTGGGCCACCAAACTCAGCTAACTTTTTATTTTTTGTAGAGATGGGGTTTCGTTATATTGCCCACACTGGTCTCGAACTCCTGGGCTCAAGCAATCCTTCTGCCTCGGCCTCCCGAAGTGCTGGGATTACAGGCATGAACCACTGTGCCTGGCCCTGGCTAAGATTTTTTAAAAATTATTTTTTTGTAGAGGTGAAGTCTTACTATGTTGCCCAGGCTGGTCTCGAACTCCTGGGCTCAAGCGATCCCCCCACCTGGGCCTCCCAAAGTGCTGGGATAGGCCAGGCTCGGTGGCTCAGCCTGTAATCCTGCGCTTTGGGAGGCCAAGGTGAGTGAATTGCCTGAGCCCGCGGGTT